CCTCCTCCTCCTCCTTCTCCTCCTTGAGCAGCGTCCATTTCAACCGCGTCCTCCTGACGGCACCGTGGTTGAAGTCCCCGCTTCCTCCCCCTCTTTCTCCTCCTCCTCCTCCTTCTCCTCATCCTCCTCCGCCTCCTCCTTCTCGACCGGCTTTCATTTCAACCACCTCCTCCCGACGCCGCCGTGGTTGAAACCTTCCTCCCCGCTCGCTCCTCTTCCTCCTCCTCCTCCTCCTGCTCCTCCTCCTCCTCCTCCTCGTCCTCCTCCTCGTCCTCCTCCTCATCCTCCACCTCCTCAGGGGAGGTCCCTTCCGCGCGAGCGGGCTCGCATGGAATGCCCCTGAGGGTCATTCCGTTCGAGCGGGCTCGCTGATTCCGATAGCCGTTGGAATTCCAACTTTTAGGTGGGACCCCCCAGGGGCCACAGGGGAGGTCCCTTCCGCGCGAGCGGGCTCGCATGGAATGCCCCTGAGGGTCATTCCGTGCGAGCGGGTTCGCTGATGCCGATAGCCGTTGGAATTCCCTTCCGCGCGAGCGGGCTCGCATGGAATGCCCGAGGATGGTGTGTGTGTGTGTGTGTTTGTGTGTGTGTGTGACTGGGTGTGGGTGGGTGTGGCCCGCGGCCGTCCAGAGAAAACAAGAACCCCACTTAGGATGTGGGAAAAAAGCAAGCCGCATGTTATCCTAAGATGGGGCTCCGATGAGATACAGGCGAGTCTGCCAGCAAATGTGCGACATGCTGGAGGTACCCCGACAGGTGGGATAATTAATCCAGCAGCGGATGTACTACGAGGTCGACGAGGTCGACGGCGAGGTCGACGACGACAAGGACGACGACGGGGTCGAAAACGACGACGGGGTCGACGACGACGAAGACGACGACGAGATCGACGACGACGACGAGGTCGACGACGAGGTCGGCGACAACAAGAACGACGACGAGGACGACAAGCATGCATCCAAACTTGTGCTACGGCATTGGAGACCGTATTTTTTGAATCAGCGATAGCCCGGGTTATCCGGGGGGGGAGGGGGCCAGCCGACAACCTAAATCTCGCGCTGTGGACAACCCTACATATGCCCGCGCCCCCCCCCACTCCAGACCTGCACAACAAGCAAGGTTAGGTTATCCTAGGGGGGGGGAGGGGGGGGCAAGCCCGATAACCCGGGTTATCGCCGGACCCTTAAAAAACAGTCTCTTGTAAACTGAACTTCTTGTCACCCCTGCTGTGGGGGTGAGCGGCTCGTGCCAAACGCGGCCGCCGCCTCTCCTCGCCCGGTTTTTCGCTCGTTTCGGACCTGCCTCTCTTCGGAGGCGGGTCATCATCCTCGTCCTCGCCCCCCCTCCATGCACTCCTCCCTGCCTTCGGCCCTCCCTCTGCCTGGAGAGAGGGGAGGGATAATGATGAGTCATGAAGGTCGTGATGATGTTGCTGCTAATAATGATGATATTGCCGCTGCTGTTGTTAGTGTTGCTGTTGTTGCTGATGTTGATAATGCTGATGCTGATGATGACGATGATGATAATGGTGATGATGCTGAAGAGAATGAGAAGAATGAGAACGAGAATGAAAATGAAACATGACGCGTCTT